CCTGTCACTGTATGTGTCGAAGACCAGCACCGCTTACACGGTGTGCAACGCTAATACAAAGGGAAACTAAGCACCCCCGGGGTGACCGTAGGGTCCCTCGCGGTGGAAAACTGGTGTTCCACGCAGTTTTCCGCTTCTGCGCCCCTCATTTGACCAGGAGACTGGCTTGGGAATGCTTTACACTTGTGCGATATTAGGGTAATGGCTTTCACGCAAGAGTTTTGATATATATATACAAACGTATACGTATATGTACGTCGCCAGTCAAAATGCGCTGCAAACCTACGGTCTGCTCAGCCCTTCTGGCCCTGGCAGCGCTGATTCCCTCCGACTGCAAGGACGGCAGGGTGCGTATGGTCGCAACTTTGCGGCAGCCCATTGGAGCCAGCGCTGTATCGGTAACCGCGGATAGAGTGAACGGTGGAATGTGAGCGATGAGACCGCTGTGTTGTCCAGTCACTCGTGGCCGATGAAGCGTTGGAAGAGAAGCGATGCTTGGTGAATCAGAAGAAGTGCGAGAGGTGTGGCACGGAGGCCACCGGTGACGAAAGGTGTGAACTGTGCGAAATGGGCTTCTATTTGTCAAGCGACGAGTGCAAACGTGAGCAAAGTGGCAATAGACTCATTTGACATCTTATGGTTCCCAACAGCCATTCAACGGTGTAAGGTGTCGGGTGATACTGCGTTCGGTGACGCCGAGAAGAATGACGTCGCACGAGCAGGGTACGCAAGGAGTCCACTTAAAAGTCTAATTATGGGCTTCCTTCAGTCTAGTCTCTTCCTTCGCTGAATGCCATCGCGAGTGTGCCATGACTCCCGGTTGCGAAGCAGTATCCTTCTATGGTAATGGTCATTGCGTTCTCCACGACCACACTGCTCTTAAGACGATGGGCTACAAGCAGGGCGTCCAGAGCGCCAGGCTTGATTGTAAGCCTATTGAAGAACTACAAGGGGATGGCTGCCGAGTGTCTTATTGCGAAATATGTGGCGAGAGGGAGAAGGAGTGTCTGCAGTGCCGTAGCAATTTTACCAGGACCGACAAGGGGAAGTGCAGATACGAAAACAAAGAAGGTGATAGCACTACTTCACGAAGATTACTGAAACACTTTCTTGCTCGTGCAGAGGCCGACTGGCCAGATATCAGGCCTCCGACGTTCGGTTCTGAGTCTGAAATTATAAAAAATGAAGTGGCGAGGATCGTCAGTCTGATGACCATCGAAGAGAAGATAGGGCAAATGACAATGGCCCGCCAGAAGTGGATAAAACCCAGCGAGATGAAGTCGAATGCTGTGGGATCGTACCTGCTGGGCGGGGACGACGATATCGGCGACAACTCAGCACAGGCGTGGGCCAGACTCTCAGATCGTTACTGGAATGCAACCACGGAGGTCGGAGACGCAATCATCCATCCCCTCTTCGGGATCGATGCCATCCACGGGCACAGCCATCT